AACGGAACCAGTTCTTTGGCGATTACCGTCACGTAAAAATGCATTCCGTCACGTCAACCGCGTAATTTATGCCTCTCTACTATGATGGACTGTCATATCTAAGACCAATGCTAGAGTTCTTGCGAAGGAAGAGCACAATTTAGCTTTTAGCTGTCGCATTCTATCAAAGCGAAGTGAAGTAATGTAGTGCTTTGCTATCGCAATTTTTCTTTCCAATTCACTTAGAAGTGTACAGTGTGTTTACTGAGAGGTATTTGTGACAGATTACTTTGGAAGCTTAATTGCTTATCTCCTTGAAAGAAAATTCAAGACATAAACACTAGCTAGTTTTGTAAAAGGTATATTAAGTTACTACAGTCAAAAATCTATAACTGTTTATTTTAAAAGTGGAGAAAAAAAATTTTTAACTAAAAGAAATTTGATGAAAATCTCACACTCTTCTAGTTTTAATATCTTAAAAACGATTTATAACCTGATGTGTTGAGTTATGCAAAAAGTTCAAAGAATACAGATTCGTATTGTAATTAAGAAATAACGGAGTTAGAAGTCAAAATTGATTTACACCTTGCACCATTCGAAATTTCTCGGACAAAATAGTTAAATAACCATTTATTTCATTGTTATTTTGCATTATACAAACAAACCAATTGGATAACTATAAATAAGATTTTACTCAATCTGTTAACCGTAAGAAAACCCGTTTATTAACCACTTTTACCTAATACGGTTAAGCAACTAGAATCGCACCCACCTAATGAAACCACTTAGCTCCTTGCTGCTGAATACATATTTTCGCCTAGAGGTCTGTCAATCTCATGACTGACGGATCGGGCTTCAGAGTCCCAGCGTTGACATCACAACATTTCCACAATTCCCTTCAAAACATGAAGAGTTTCCCATATCCTGAACTCTCCAATTTGTGACCCAGGGCTATTACAATACGATACTCTTTTTACACATAGATGGCAGCACCCCAAAGCTGCTTAACACTTAAAAGTCTAGTATTTCCCATCTTTTACGATAGGTGAAACATCCAGATAAACTAATTAAACCACACTCCACGGTTCATTCGATAAAACACTACTCAACGTAAATAGAATGCCCAGTGAAAAGCCTAGGTACAATTTCCAGTTAAATTTCTTTTTTACGCTTTTGAAATCATGCTAGTTGTATATGGTTAAAAATCGCATAAATTTGTGCTCATGGTTTCTTAACCATACTAGTTGTAAGCGGTAATTCAAAACCGCAAAAGTAAAAATGCTCTTTACCGTCAACTTTTTGATAAATTGGGTGGGTAGAACGCTGCCGTTTATTTTATCGTAATGTTAGAGTGAAAATTGTTACAGTATTACAAGAATTAATGTTTGTGTACAATAATTAATTTCATATGGATTTTTTCAAAAATAAAATAATAAACATAGATTAAATTTGTCTTCAGAAAATCTGAAATGTTACCAGATCTTATTTAAAATCATTGTTATTCTGGATGCAATTAAGCCTTTAGCTGCAGCATTCTATCAATATAAAATGAAGTAATGTAATGTTTTGCTATCCCTGTTTTTCTTTCGAATTTACTTAGCAGCGTATGGTTTGTTTACTGAGAGGTTTTTGTGACAGATTGCTCTGTTTGTAACCTTGAAGAAAAGTCAGAATAAGCCATAGCTAATTTTGCATTTGCTTAATAGCAAGATGCATTTGCTTAAAGTTACAATTCAAGAACTGTTCATGGTAAGAAAACGAAATAATTTATCTGTGATTAAAGGAACGTAAATCTCGTCTGTTTCGGTATCTTAGAAATAATTTATTATCGCAGCTAAGTTTATTTATTCAAAGAAACGAAAGATATGTATTCATTTGTAGTTTAGGACTAATGAAAGTTTCTAGTTAAAATTTAATTTAATCTAGAATCGCTTTATTGGCAAAAACTAACATTCGCTTATAATAACTTAATCTATGGTTCATTTCTTTTAAAAGAAATCAGCATAAAGTAAATCAGTTTAAAATTTGAAATGTCTAAAATGCAAATATTAACGGTTCTTTTGAAGAATTATTATGTTTTGGTAGCTTTCTGGGGATGGTAGTAATTTAGCTTTTAGCTTTCGTATTATATCAAAGCGTAGTATTCTATCAAAGTGTAGTAATGGAACGCTTTGCTATCGCAATTTTTCTTCGCAATTCACTTAGAAGCGAATTATGACTCTGAGAGATTTTTCTGACAGATTAATTTGAAAGCTTAGTTGTTTATAACTTTGAAAGAAAAGCCCGAACATGAATAGTAGCTAAATATATATTCAAACTGAGAAAATAAGTATTGTCAAAACTATCAGAATGTGGTTAAATTCATCGCGTTTCTAACTCTATAAGAACATAAAAATGCTCGGTAATTTTTACCGAAGTGCTTTCGTAATGATTTTGGTTAAATTAACAATAAAATATGGTTTTATAATGTGGGATGAAATTTAGGAATTTTATCATGATACCTAAGAGCATGCCATAAAAACAATTTATTCGGTTAAATTTACTTTTCACTTCTGTATTTTTTTACTGAATGTGTTTTTAAAGAGTAATATTTTTGAAGTCCAGAATTTCCGGTAAACCGTTTACATATGAACAAAAAAATTGCCAAATGATTGGTTTAAATACCGTACGTCTTTTTATGAGCCAGAAATATGGTGTTTTTTTTCCAACCAAAAACATCGAAAGTCTCGAACTGTCGAAAAGTCTTTTTTAAAAGAAATTTGAAAATTGCAGATTTATACGTTTCAGTATCTTATTATAAAATTATAACCTTAATTGAGTGAGTCGTTCAGGAAAACGAATGATTCATAATTGTATTTTGTAATTTTGAAGAAACGGAGTTGTTTGTAAAAAATAAAATTCCTCTTGAATTGACAAAACTTTATTAACTAAACCATTCTTTTGTAATAGTTTAACTCATGTTGATAATCTTTTAAAAACATCAGTATAACTTAAATATGAGTTTGTAAAATCTTAACTCGCTAGAATGCAAAGTTTACTAAGTAGTATTCAAAATCAATACGTTGGGGGGAAGGGGTCAGTGCTAGAGTTCTTGCGAAGGAAGAGTGCAATTTAGCTCGCAGCTCTACATTCTCTCAATAACAATCAATCAGCTCTATATTCTGTCAATAACAATCAATCAGCTCTACATTCTGTCAATAATAATATATCAGCTCTACAGTCTGTCATTTTCTGTGTTAGTTTATACTCGGAAGCATACAGTGTGTTTAATGAGTGTTTTTTTCTTTCTTTTTTCTGCAGATTACTTTCGAATTTTAATTGTTAATAACTTAGGAATAAAAGTCAAGATAAATAGTTAGCTTTGATCAAGATTCATTTAATTAAAACCACATCTCTAGAAATATTCATGGTAATTATACAAACAGAAATAAATTCTTTCTAATTGAAAGAAGTTTGATCTAAGTCTACACTCTTATTGCTTAGAAATAATGGAGTTATTAGTTAAAATTTAGCCTCATCTGAAGTGCTTTATTAGCAAGAACTAACGTTCGATTATAATGATTTCATTTATGCTTATTTTTTTGAATCTGTATTTTTAAAATCTGAGACAAAATACAAAAAATATTATTAAATATTATCTTTTATGCTATGCTAGAGTTTACTGGTAGAATGAGCTCAATTTAGTTTTCAGCTGCCACAGTCAATCAATGTGAAATTATGTAGTGTTTTGCAATAATAGTTTTCTTTCCAACTCAATTAGAAGCAAATGGAAGCTGAGAGGGCTTTGTGACACAATATTTAAGAAGCTTAGCTTAACATAACCTTGAAATAAACGTCATTAGTTAAACAGTAGCTGATTTTGCTAAACATACATCGAATTTCACTCAAATTTTTACATCTGTTCAAAATAATAAAAGGAAAAAAACAAACAGTTTCAGCCAAAAAAAGGTAGATCTAAATCTCATAGCCAAATAGTCTGTTTCTCATTCTTAAAAATCCTGCCTTCATATGAAACTCTTAAAGATCCTGCCCTCATATGAAAGAATGATTTTTAATAAAAAAATATGGGGATTACGGAATATTGTAAGGCGTGACTGTTAAATAAAATTTCATGCACTATGCGCAAAAAAGAAATTAATAAAACGGAACTGCCTGAAAGACTTCTAATCTAATGATCGGATTTTCACTTACTAGGATTTAAGGGTTTACAGTAGTGACCTCAAATATGATAATTTATATGTGCAGGCGGTATTTTAAGCTATGAAATCAGGCACAAAAACATATTTCCGCATAATCCCTATTAAATATATCTCATGTTATATGAGCGGTACCCGCATTCTGGAAAATATGGCTCCAAAAATTTGTTCCAAAGAGCTGTCAAAGATTTGGACCCTTTAATGTTCATTATACTTTTTCATAGTTCTCTATATCTCGAGAGTTGCTTAAGTGGATTGAAAAATTTTTGCACTCAATTAAAAAGTTCATTTATCCAAAGATGTCATAATTATTAAGTATTTTTTATTTAATAATGGTCGAAAATGATGTGTAAAAAAATTTTACATTATTTTGAAGAATGTAATTTTATATGTCAGAATAATAAATTTGAAAACAAATGTCAAATAGTTCCTTAGGAATCGAATTTTAAATATTTGATCCTTTGAAATTCAATTTTTCAGAAACTATCCAACCAATTTTGCTCAAATTTTGTAGTTTGCCATGTAAATTTATCTTCCTTAAAATGATGTGAAGCATTTTATACCTTACAAGAAAAAGTAAATATTTACAGAAAGTTATTTTTTGCATGGAATTATCTTTGGGTAAACAAATTTTATAATTGCGAGCAAAAAAAATTTCAATTCGCTTAAAAAGTTTTCGAGATATAGCAAAATACGTAAAAAGTAAAATTAAAATCCATCACTAAACACTATCTTTTTCGATATCGGATGATGCTGATTTTGTTTAAAACAGTTTTAAATTTAGTTTTATTTATTTGACGTTAAGCACTTTTTTTTTAATTACAGGTACAGTTCATTTGACTGATCTACATTTGAAGCCAGAAGCTTTGGTAAATCTTTGTTTAGTAACTTTCTTTCTCATTATTGCTCACATTATTACATTTATTGCTCACAACATTAAACAAATCAGTTGGATTAAGTTTTTTCTTAAAAAATACTGAACAATAAGTTCGATCACCAATTATTTTACTTTTTGGAAACATATAGGCAATGGTAATTTTTTTAATCAGTATTGCTTTGAAATAAGAGAATGCTAAAAAGTAAAATTAATTCAAACCATGAATATTTGTAATATTAGCCTTGAACACCCTTCGCAGATAAAGTTTCATAGAAGATAAGAAAAAAAGAGCGGCGTTAACATTAATGTTAGTTTTAGGTAATAAAACACAAAAATAAATATTATTGAATACCATTCTTAACTGTCTACATAAAAACCGGTTATGTAAGATAATAGCAAACTCTTTTATTGCTATTATTACCATCCGAAAAAATATATTTCATTATTGTTTACCAAATAAAAGCAAAGTAATAAGAGAAATAGAAAATATAGAAGTGTAAAAGAAAGTTAATTTAGCCAACAGTCATGTCGCTTTTCTGAAAAATTAAACTACTGGGTACTGAACATTTCGTACCATAATATCAATCGAAATTGTTGCAACTGTGTTCTCCTCCAAATGAAGCAATCCAGGTTCAAATACCAGCGATGGCTGATCTATTCATTATTCCTGCTTGCATCGACCACATTCAAATATCCTTAATGGTAGATTGATCGTTGGGAAAAGTCCCTTGCCGTTAGACTAACTGAGAAATATTTGCGTTGTTTTTCTCTTCATAATATGCAAATTTCATCTTTCAAAACGTGGCAACAGCCGTATGAACTATGAAAGTGTGGCAACAGCTGAGCTTGACTATATGTATATCTATGCTTTTATCCCAAAAAATATCTAAGTTTTAAGTGCATTTATCATTTTATCTTTTCCATATTTAGTTTATTTAATATATATAACAGGTGTCATAAATAACGAAATTCAGTCACTAAATTTTACCTCTGAAGCAAGTATTACAATTATGAAATGCAGCGCACGTCAAGAATTAATCATGAAACGAAGCGCATGTCCAAATTTAATTCAATTCAATGAATGCAAGGGTGTTTTCCACTTTTATTGCGGAGGATTTACCGAGTGAAGATTTCGACTTCCTGAAGATAGGAAGAATATTTGGAAATATACGAAACGTCAAAATGAACTTCTCGGCAGCAGGAATCACTTTCTGCAGAAAACGTTGAACCAGTCAAAATCTGCATCTATTATGGAGCTAAAGAACATGCAAGCTTTAGCTCTGGTGAATATGAAGTCGTAGAATTAAAATCTATTATCGAACAACAATTCATAGTATATAGTAAAACCCTGAACTTCCGAGAAACAATAATCAAAGATCTCGCGTAAATAATGAAGTCCAAGTAGTAGGAAAATCAATACTCAATTTCTAAATCTGATGTCTAAAAATACAAGACAGACATTGATGTCTTTAAAACTGAATCGTTAAATATTCAGCAATACTATAGACTCACAGAACTTGCAATTAAAGACTAGAAATAAATTGTTCAATTTTAAACTCTTTGGATGCACTGTTAAAATTTTCATTCGAAAATTATGCTAAAATAACTGGCAGCTGTCTGTCCATCCGATTAACCGTAAAGTTTACGGTAAAGAACATTTTTTCTCTTTATGGTTTTGAAACCATTTATAAAAAGTATGGTTATAAGACCGTGAATACAAAACTATACGGCTTTTTAACCATTTACAACTAGCATTTTTCAAAAGCGTGAAAATTTTTTTTTATTTAACTTGACGTAGGAGCTCGACTTTTCGTAAGGTAATGGGCATTGGAGAGTGCCGTACACTGGAAATTCTTCATGTGTTGAAAGGAATGGAAGAAATATTGTGGTGTCAACACTAGGACTCGAACTCGAGTTCTGCCAGTCATGAGACTGACAGATTAGTCCGCTGGGCTATGACATGTATACAGGTGTAAAGAACTAAGTAGCTTTCTTAAGTGGTTCCAGTTGGTGCGGTAAACTTCTGGTTGTTTAACTGTATTAGGTGAAAGCAGTTAATAAACAGTTTGATTACCATTTTATTTATGGTTACTTGACTGTTTTGATTAAAAATGGTAAAATAACCATTCAATAAATTGTTATTTAACCACTTTTACCGAGAAATTTTTAACAGTGTGTAAACAGGTCAGACAAAATTGTCGTTGCAAATCGTACGCAATCATCACACCAAGATAGACACAAGCCGATTGTTATTCAGTTCAAAACGAAAGCCTAGTTATATTGTTGTTTAGTAGCTGCAAAAAAACTCAACTTCGAAAGTATATTCCAGACCCAGAATGTATACTAAATACTGAGGTGTACTTTGAATATATAATCAGAATGTATACCTTGACACAACTCCGATCAATTCCAACGAGCACTTGACCCCATGTATAAAAAAAAACTATAATTCCTCTTAAAACAATTCAAACGGGAAAACAATTTTACGATTTGCTGGATAAGAGATGGTAAAAAAGTCGTTTTTTAAACAAAGCTTCTTTAAATTTGGTCATTCTGTACATAAACGTTCAACTCATTTTAAATATAGCAAACTAGAACATTAGCTTAATAGTATTTATTAATGAATAAAATGGTGTTAGCATATTTTTTGTATCATAAATGATTCGTATCAACCAAAGAGTGATGGAATTTGTTGATTGTGAAGCACCATTTTTACCCAAAGAGGAATTAACTCTTTTCAGTGGTCAGTTGTTTCTTTTTATAGTAATTATAGGCTATTGTTCGGCATGCATGAAGCAAGACAAGCAACCGAATCTAGTCAAGTTAGTTATCTTAAAGGTTAAGAAACAAAACATGAGTAGGAAAGCAACAAAAAAAAATTTATTACATTGCAAGAAATTGGAAACATTCCGAAATAAAGCGATACAAAGTCTAGTTCTTTTTTAATTTTAAGAAATGGTTTTCGAGACCTATAGTTTATTGCAAGACATTTCCCATGAGAATTTTTTTCTATTACCTTGATCGATTAAGATGCTCCACAATCGTGTTTATAAACATTTTTTATCTTACAAATGTGTACTCATAGTATCTTATTAACATTTAATTTGATAGTAAATTATACAAATATTACGATACATTAAGCAAATAAAAAGCCCAATTAAAACAACTATTTACAGTACAGAGAGCGACTCAAACACATTGATGAACAACCAAAAACTTTTTTATTTCTTTTGGAACAATTTTTTAATGAAACTTTTTGTGATGAAATTACGAATACTAAAAGTATGGCATGATTGCGTCTTACGGAATGAAGTACGACTATTTGTCTCATTCCCAACATTCACCAGACGTAAATTAAGAAAACAAAACAGATTTGAAAAGGAAAACACAAAGTCTTAACACTACGCAAACGGAAAAATAAAAGATAAAAAATAAAACTATGGAAACTGTGGTAGTCGAGAGACAAATCAGAGAAGAATGCATTTCCGTGCGATATTATGGGCTGGTGAGGAACCCATGCCGCTAACCAGGACATAAAGACAACTTAAAAAGAAACAAGTTTCCAGAGCATGAAAAGGTGGGAAGAATTTTGGAGTTAACGAAATTAAATTTATGCCCAAGGTAAATTTATGCCAATGTGCAGCAGCAGATGATGCATCAAATTCTTGATTCCAGACTTATCTATCGTGTTATCTTAATCTACGTTTGAAGCGCATTTGGTTTGCCCGATATAAGTTTATTTAATATTCTGCAAAATACATTACTTTTAAATGCAGGCAGTTTCTATAGCATAAAAAAATGTTGTCTGCAAATTTTAAATCTCTCTCTCAAAAAAAGAATTTGAATACTTCAAATACTTTAGAATATTTTTCAACACTTAAACATTTATCAATAATTATTTTCCGAGTTTCCAGTGAAGCGATTCACAATATCTTCTGTTTCAACGATGCTCTCTCGGCCAAGCAAGCAAAGAATGCAATCAGTTCCATTGAGAGGCTGGAACATTTCTCAGATGAGGCCAAGTTCAGTTTCGCCAAACGTCCTTGCGAGAAAGCATTCGAACCGACTGGTTCTCCCCTTCTCCCCCCCCCATCTAAGTAACTTTTTATTATTATTAATATTATTATTTTCGTTTTCATTATTCTTTTTTTTCCCTTCACTTTCGGTAAGACAGAGAATGCAAGTCGTTTAACCTACTTCCCATTACACAACACGGCGGAATCGAGACCCCAGGCGTTTATTTGTTTTTTCCCCCCTTTCTCTGTTTTAACCATTGCTTACTGTCATTAAACCACATTCTCTTTTATTCTTTCGAGAATATATATGAGTTACGTTTAATCTGGAGAAAAAATCTTCTCCGTTTCTGGTTTGTTTCGTTTTTCATTGTTTTTTCGTTTATTATAATTGTTTTGTATTATCTGTTTTTTTTTATTTTTTATAGGCTGGATTTGATCTTCCTATTGAAGTAAAAGGAGGATGCATTGGTATGTATAGCGCTAAAAGTAAACAATGTTTTAAGCAAATAATCCCAAGAACCTGAAGCGGAAAGATATTAATAGATTAAAAACTTCATTCGCTTCAAAAATATATAAAATAGAAATAACTCCACCTCTCCATAGCAAGTGGAAATGCATTTCACCCTTATTTGCCCCTCTTGGCCACTGTGGTTTTCCTTGCTATTTTTTCACCCTTTTTCTCTCTTAACTACTGTGTTTTTCCAGTTTTGTTTCTCACTTTTATTTATTCATTTCTCTTTGGCAACATTACGTTTTATATTTCAAATCACTTTTATTTCTTCTCATTCACGTCTGGCAAGTCTGGAAAAGGTGAGCCTGTTTTGGAGCGACTGAAACATGTCGACTGCTACTTTCAATTTGTATATTTTCGAAGCGAATGAAGTTTTTAATTTAGTAAAATATTGTTTTAGTTACTTGCAAATTTTTTAAACATTTTAAAAAACAATTAACAGTCCATTGAATTATGAAGTTGATGTAAAGATGCTGATATCACAAGAACGAAAAATCAAAAAAACAAATATATATATATA